AAGGCAGAAATAAACTCATCAAAACTATTCTAAGTCCTGCAATTCAGATGTCACAAGAACATTGTTTATCTTAATGTAGCTCACTTAGCATTACTTAAAGTAAATATGAAAGAAGAATTCCAGGAAACAAATGCCAGTAACATTGGACTAAAAGACATTTACAAGATGAGAAATTAGTTTGATGAAATGACTAATCTTAGCCTAATAAAAGTATTCCTTCATTATCATTATTATCTCTTCCAAAGAGATAATCACATAATAATTATTATAGATTAAAATAATTGCTGAATAAATTTTATAAGTTCTACAGAAATAACTATTTCCAAGAAGTACATTGCTGATTTATAATGTATTATGGTAGTAGAATAGTACTTTTTCCCCCTCAAGATAGCAGTCTAAAGTCACCATGGAGTCTATAAAATTATTACATGCTACACCTCACCCCTCAGTGTTAAAGTAACCCTTTAGAAGCTGGATCAGCACCTCTCACTTGATAGAAAAGAAGTACAGAGAACTGTTTTCACACTCCCTTTCATGTAAACAACCTGTACTATGACTTTAAGCTACTTACAAGCTTTACAACTTACTTACAACTCTCTTCTCAGGATAGGAAAAATATATAAGAAGTCCATGTTACTTCCAAAGTAGACTACTTTCATTTAGTCCAGGATTTTTTTTTTCCTTCTCTCCTGTCTAGTATAAAATAATCTCTTAGGGCGAGACTTGTATAATTACCACTGGAACATTTTTCCAGAGATAAATACAGATATTTTCATGCTTTCTTACTTTGCTTCACATAATTTCCAGTTTTACTCCCAAGTATAATTGCTATCTCACAATGGACATGGGATTAAGTACTTTTCAAATGTTGGGTGACAGTAAACTAGACAAACTTCTTACTTAATAGAAACTATGTAAAATTTAATCATTTGAACATCTTTTTGTAAGGCAGTCTCTGTCAAGTTCTTATAATGTTCTTCCTTGAGGCTTATCCAGGTGTCTTTTAAGTCACAAGGGTGTCCATAATGAAACATAATGCTCTACACAGAGTTGTCCTGTGGGTTACACATGGGGACAGTTCTGCCTGCCTGTCCAACCCATATTGTCCCTGTGGTTTCTAACTCCAATTGCACTGGATTTTTTGATGACACACATTATTATAAACTTATGTCTACACTACAACCAAACTTTCACAATTGTATTTCACTGCTATCTTTCATTCTGAGAGTGAACACTTGTATTAAACAACTTTCAGAAGATCCTCTGGTAAAAAAAAGCAGTGTTAGTATACTGAAATAATTTAACTTTTGTTACCTTTCTGTTCAAATCAGCAAAACCCCTCCAAGAGCCATCTGTTCCATGAAGGCCAAAATAGCACAAAACCAGTTTTGCACTAGTTTTCTGTTTTCCCTCACCATTACACATTACCTTCAGTTTTCTATTCTCTTGGCTATCTAAACACACCAAACTGCTATCACACAGCATATACTGCAGTTGATTTGGAAGGTAACATTTCAGCTGAGTTAAAAACCCTTTTTCTCCAAGATCGAATTGTTTCACTACTTGCTATCCATCACCAAATTTTCACAAACATTTTAAGAACCTAAACTCACAAACTTGCTTGAAATTGGTGAAATGTTTCAGATTCTATTTCTGGAGGAAGAAAGTACTACTGTGAAATCTAGTAATCAGTTTGACCATATATCATCATAAAGGCTAAAAATAAAGTATGTATGAAAATACAACACACACTCTCATCTTAAATTACCTTTCCCAACACAAAAATGCCTCAAATAAGTGAAAATATTATGCCACCACAATAAGCAATGCAGCTACTCCAGGTCTCAACATGAGAAATCATACCAGAATATTGATCTATGCAATGCTCTCACAAGGTATGGTTATAAACAGAAGCAGTGACCAATACTAGAAAAGAAATCTGGTTAACATAACACAGTATACAGACAGAATGTGTAGTCAATCAACAGAAACAAAGATCAAAGAATATTTTCTCCTCCACAGCAGAGAAGGTGAGCGACACAAGTAAAATAGTATGTCCAGTTACCACTGAAATGGGAGTTTCCCATTTGAGAATGGGAGATACTATTTTACTTGGGAGTTTGCTCAAAATACCACAGCAAGAAAACTCCCCAACATTAGCACAAAAAGCTAAATGAATAACATTATTCTGTGCATCAGTTCTCTAACACTTGCAAAGAATTTTTTTTCAGAAAGATCAAGTTAGCTCACCAACTAATGTAGAACTTTCTTGACCACTTCTTAATGACATGTGAGGGATCTACTCATAGTTTCTCAAAAGCTTATAGTGATCAGTCAAGTCCTCAAGGAATTATCATGGGATTCTCTATTCCATTCAATCTCAAAATTTACTTAATTTCCCAGAGTTCATCTAAATTGTCTCTATACATATACAATTATATACATCTCTTTTCAGCTGGCAATATGTCCTTTCTTCTGAAATCACAACCCTTTTTTTGAAACAAAGAAATAGGAGGTATAAATGAAAGGAAACATCATTCTCTATAACCATGGACAACTGCTCTGTCTCTCCTGGGAAGGCCTTTGAGAAAACACGATAATAAAGACTGTCACCACTAACTTGGAGCAGATTGTTTCTAGTGACTTATGACTTCAGAATTCATTACAAATTCCCTAAAACAGTCTTTTCTTCAACTTTTAATGTATTAAGTGTAAACACATCCATTTAATATATTTGGTATTTTAAACATACACATTGCTGGATTTTTTAGTTCAGGGAGATAACCAATTAAAATGAATTTAATTAGTGTGATAGTTGAATACAACCTAGTATGAAGTAAAATTAAAAACCATCACAATTACAAAACATAATTATATAAGCCCCTCTCTAACATAAAACAGCATCTGCAGTCATTTTTTTATGACACAAGGTTTGAAAAATTGCATTAGCAAATTGATTCAGTCAAGCCCAAATGCAAAAATATTTGGTACATACAGTGATGTGTTTCTATCTGAACTATTCTGCATAACACTGCTTAGTCAAATTTAAACAATAAGCATCAAATGCTACTTTTGACATTTATTGTTTTGTTTCTGTACTATATTGTCTGCTCCAAGAAGAGTGGGTTGCATCTCAAACTACTCAAAACTATTACCTGTGAATTCAGAAGAAAGCCATTTCTGCCATTCTAAGATGAAAACGCTCTCTCACACCTTTTTCTCTTTTCGGTTTGGTTTGAGGCTTTTTTGGTGCATTGGTAGGTAGGCAGCCCCAGATTTTTGACTTCTTAATAGCCTTTAACATCTACTTAAATTATACAAAAAAGCCCCACTAAAATTCTAGTCCAAGCACTGCTTAAGTGCAATAGACTCTACAGGCCCTGATTTCTCCTTCAAGTCTTGTGCTAAAATACTGTCAGTTCACCTTGTGAACAGGTTTCCATTTCAAAAAGCCCACTGTCACTCACAGTACTAACCAAGCACCTTGAAAGTGGCCTCCAGTGTGTGCTGCTGTTTGCAAAGCCTTTTTAGTATTCTTAAATGATTATGACATTGGAAAGACTAATATCTTAGCCTGTCATTTTAAATATTACTCAAGCATGTATTTTAAATACAGAGACATCTGTAGTGTATCCTTGTTCTCTTTTCTGACTGCAGACAGGCAAGGATCACTGCATCCATGATTTTGCCTATGGAGTAGAACTGACAAGTAATGTCCCAAAGGACCACTTACCTGTGAGACTGTAACATGTAAGGGACATTTTATCCTCAATTCTGCATCCAAATAGCTGGATAAACACGTAGAAAAAAACCTGCCAAAGTTCTAGCTCTGATATGAACTTCCATGTATAAAGACAGGGTATGAGAATGATAATAAATATAGTATAAGCAAAAATTATATTTTAAAAAGTATTTAAATCTACAGAACACTACTCTCAAACAAAAGTTTCCTGTAAAATATTAAAAATCTAAACTATATCAGTGAAAACAAAACAGGCATCTAACAAAGGAAAAAGAAGAAATAAATGTAGACAGGATAAGAAAAATTACAATTCAGTGAGCCTGAGGGCCACAGCAGCATGGTTTTGACACCTATAACCCCTCTATTTTTAAACTGGTGTTTAAAAGAGCAGAGTAACTTCTTATCAACAGCTTCTCTTCCCAGTTATAAGTGAACAAAACAAATTGATTACTTCAGAGAAGCTGAAAAAGATGCCACATAACTGGTACACCAAACTCTTGCTACACTTTATATACCCAAACTATCACTCACAGATCCAATGTCACTCCGAGATTGTGCTATGCTTCAGGAATATTTGGAGAACCGATTAAGGCAGCCTTGCAATCCCCTTACCTTTGCTCACTACGAACTATAAGCATTAGTCTTCCAAGGTATGTGAACTTGAATATTTAACATATTACAAGGTCTCACTCTTGCAGCCATTTTAGTATTTAGGGATTTCTAGGGATTAAGTGTCAATCATTGTCATTCTTGCACCAGGAATTCACAAGCAACAGTTTAAAAAATGGCAAAATGAATTATGTTCAACTGCCAAATGCCTGAGTTCTTGACTCACTCTTAATTTAGAGGAGCAACCAGTAGCTCCCCTTATAGTTTGGAACCTTTAATTATTTATCACAGCCTACAGGCTGAACATTCTCACAGTTATAAAGCCATCACATATGGTGGTGGTAACTGATACTGTTTACATACCTTTTTATAATTCAAACACACATTTCTTTATCTATGAGGATATTCTATATATAGACGAATAAGTTACTACACTACTGCAGTTAGTACATTTTTGCATCAATTTAACCCACAGTAACCACCATGTGTTAAGAATAGGCAACATCAAAACAGGCAGGCAACCAACTATTGCAGAGTAGCTTATGACTTGCACTTTTTTCCTTACTCCATTTCAACTTCCCTATCTACTCCAAGAGTAACCATGAAGATGGAAGTCACTAGACTAAAAGCTATATGCAGGAGTACTTACCATGAGAATAGGATGGTTCCCACTATTGATGCAAGTTTGCCGTTTTCTTGCTTTTGCTTTGCAAGACCAAAGTCAGCTACAATAATAATTAAAAAAAAAAAGACAAAGAGATTCACATCTCAACAGCCACCTTCTCTGCATGACAATCAGTGCTCAGTCACAACAGCTGAAAAGCTGGGGGAGGGTGGAAGGGAGGTTTGGGATTTTTTTTTTATCATTTACATTTCACAGAACTGAACAATATTATCTTTTTATCTCCACATTCATCAGCAACTTACACTTGAATCAGGCCTATCTGCTTTAAAAATACTGTAAGCACACTTTCAATGGTTTCAATCTAAACTATATTACCTATTTCAGGTTCCTATTAATATATTTCAATAAACTGTATGATAATGGTACATATCTAATAAGCAGTGATCTCATACTAATCTCTAATAATCTAAATTTATGGTAATTATTTTTCTTTCCTTGAAATTATGACAGTTAGGAAGCGTGGATTTTCCAAGTAATTCAATTTCAAGGAGCACAGAACAGGGGGAGGGTGTCAAATAACTTGATAATTCATGTTCAGAGATGGAATTTGGTAAGAAATAATGGTGAATCTTAGCCTTACCTTGTGAAAAAAGCTGTAGATTTAGATGATAATGTAATTATGTTTATATAAGTGCCTTGTGTAATTATCAGGTAGTCTTTGACACAGCCTTTAAAGATTATATTTTTAATCAAAGTTCCATGCAAACAGTTCAAGTTTGTTTTTTCTAGTTCAATACTCTACTGCTGCCTCCACACAACAATGCAGCTAAGATACCTCACACTTCATTAAATCCAAACACAAAGAGCAGAAAACATTATTGTAACTGATAAATCCAGTTAATAATTTTTGTATTGCAATACTACTTCAGAAGAAGAAGATTTGTGTTATAAATAATATTGTTTAAAATATTCTAAGACTTCTCTTCTACTTGAACAGAGCCCATAGCATGCCTATTCCAGTTGCTTTCACTGTGACGCATTTCATAAAAATTTTATTTCAAAATGTTGCTACTCATCAAAAGAAGCTGGAGATCAGAAGAAATATAGGTAGGAAAAATTAGTTTCTGTTGGCTCTTGCTCAGTGCAAGCCTTCAGGGTGTGAAAAGGAGCAGTTCTTCTATTCAGAAAGAGCCTTTGATAAGAAAGCCAAATCTAGACACCCAGGACACAGATCATTTTTCTTTGAACAAGATGTCTAAAGAAGGACTAGCTCTGCAGTGCTTGGAAAATATAAATAGAAAGAATGCTAAATTAACAGGATAACCAAGAAGTCTCCCTTTTCCCTTGAGTTAAGGCAGTCCTCAGGCAGCTCACACCAAGAAAAATTAATCTCCAAAGGACCAGAGGTTTTTGCAGTGTTGATACTTCCCTGAATCAGTTGAGCTAGGTCATTCTAAATTCCTTCCTTTGGAATTCTTCAAATAATATTAGATGAAGGAAGATTATTGAGACATTACAACAATCAATAAATTTGGTTCCTGTTGCTTGAAAGATTTAGTAAAGGAAAGAAGAGACCTGAACATCTCAGTTCTGGAAATAGTAGTTTATTTTGATACAACATGAGTGATTATTTGAAGAAAAAAAAAGAAAGCAAAGGGAAAATCAGCCAGATGGAGTAAATATATTCTCTTCCTTTTAAGCTCAGCTCCTCAGAAATGGAGGGATAAAACACTGGCAATTACTTTTTCCAAATTCAGCTAAACGTTATTGACACCAGCAAGAAACTCCTACATACAACTGGTGCTGCCAGAGCTAAGGAATGTAAAACCCAGGACAATCAGCTTTACATTAAGTATAAATTCTTTTTCTTAGCTTTTTCAAGCTTATAATAGAGATTCAAATGAAAAAGAACTGCCAACTGTTGAACTGCATCAAACTAGTGACATTGCTTCTTTTAATTTATTTAAGCATCTGTCTTAAAAAATAAATAAATTGGTTTACAATTTTTAATACTCTGTGATTATTTGGTATGTGATGCCAAAAGTTGCTACAATAACTAACAAACAAATGAAAACACTTCTAAGAACTGTGAAAGGTCTGTCTCATGTATTAAATGAAGATAGGACCAAATAGGAAGGTGACCCCTGTGAATTAGTTTTATTTTAATTTTTTTAATTCTTTAAAAAATAGTCAAACAACCATAAAAGATAATCTTCAAACAGGAATAAAAATTAAAACACTATGATGTAGTCATAATCCTTTAGATTTTGATCACCCTCCTTCACTTTTTCCACTTGCTTACCCTATATTTAGATTTGCAGAATGAGTGATAATGAAGCAAGGAGGTTTCAAAAAAGATTAACAATCTGTGGAAGAGAACATGAAGGAAAGACAGAATATGAAAATAGGAGTCAGCTGACTTGGTTAGTATCTTAACCTCCTACTGAATGGTCTCTGCAGCTTTCATGATAGCCAAATTACAGAAACTTTCTAAATCTTATCAGTCTCTTCAAATGAGCATTTTAGATACCTGCAACAGATTTTTACTCTTTTTATTAAGAGAATCTGGATTTTCATTTGCTGTTTCATTTCTCAAAATTCTCACGTAAAATTATCTTATAGATAACTTATACTTCTGCAGTATAAACAAGACAAAAAAAAATATCCAGATACATTTTAACACTGACTTCATATTTGCAAATTTGTTGCCTTAATTTATATCTGAACCCTATTCAAAAATGCCATTAATTTCTCCTAAAATCAAACACACACACAAAGACCAAAAGCAGAGCAAGAAAGAATGTTAACAGAGTATCAAATTCACCCCAAATATGAACTTCAGACCTGCTCACATCACATTTTCACTGTGAACACACTGAACAGTTTCTTTTTCTACCCTGAAGGGTTCAGGATGGGAAAAAAAACTCTTTGCTTCTGTTCAGCAAGTTTACAATTGTAATCAAGCAGGTTTGTTACCAACTTACTGAGATACAGTGATTTGGAGTATAAAATTAAAACTTTATTTTCTATAAAAACATATACTAAAATCAAGATAATTTGTAATTTAATCAACAATAGTACATACTTATCCTACTTTTCCCCATCAATAGAACGTAAACAGAATTAACTTCTTCTCATTCCCAAATAAACCTTTTAGCTATTCTATCATTCTCCTTTCTGTGTGCTTTTATTAATGCTTTGTAAACAATCTACTGCTAGTTTTATGAAGCCTGTAACTTCAGCACTAGGAACCTAAGCACTGATCCACATCTAGAACTGAGATTTGTGGAGAGATGTGATCATGCTATTCATTTACCAATGATTTCCAGAATGTTTGATTTTACAGTGTGAATACAAAAAAGTAGAAGATTCCGTTCAGCCTACTATGAAAATAACTTTAAAGTACTACAAGGACTTCCTCGAATCTCAGTGTGAAGGGTAGCAATTCTGATTACAAATATTAGCTAAATGAGCCATGTAATCTGCTAAAAAATAGCACTGATTCAAGTGAATCTGAGCTGTGACTAACACATAACAGACACTGGTTACATTCACTTTATCTCATGGCCACTGCTTCTCTGGGCATGGAACAGAATCCAGAGCCAATAGGTGTTTTATACAACACACCCAAAAAGCAAATATTCTGAATTACAAAACTAACAGGTAGCTTTCTTCCAGCACCCAGCAACTCTTTGAACTTTCCAAGTCACATTAAATTAGCCATTCTGACATTTCATGTCTGCCTGCTATGATTAGAAATTTATCCAACAGGTGAGTTGTCTCAAAACTAGCATTCTGCTGCTATACAATCCTAGGTTCAGACCCATACAGATCCTTCCAGCTGCTATTTTGTCGTGTGTATTAAACATTAAACAGAACATGCTTCCTAAAAGAGAGTATAGTACCCTTCACAATTCTCCTTGATATCAGCTCTGAAAGGTGACCAAGTGATTCCACACAGCCCTGCAACCATCAAGGTCTAAACCTTGCTGCAACTAAATGACACTCAGGGAAAGTGATGATCTACAATCTCTTCTGTTTTGTCCTACAAACAGATGCAGCTATGGAGCTCTAGACAGAAATACACTGTGCTAGAAACAAAATACAGCTGCAGTAAAATATAGCTGCAATAAAAGCAGATACGCATTTTCAATTTAGAACTGTAACTTCCCAATGTCTTTTATAAAAAGGTTGGGCAGATTAAAAGGCAAGCCAGAGATAATATTGGTTCAATGAATCTCTAAAAGCCTATAACAAAACAACTTTCATCCAGGCTGCACCTAAAATTCCACCTTTTTTTGTGTGTGTCTGAAACAATACATCAGTTTTTCAATCTCACGAGAGACGTACAGTTTTGATAATATGTTTCTATCAATTTAGAATGAGAAATTTCAGATTGGCATGATTTTATATTTTCATAGCATTGAAAGCTCAATCAATTATGATTAAATGCTGTACCAGCATAAGAGATGGCAGTTATGGACCCCTTCTTCTGGAATTTATGTCAGAAATTAAACAGAAACAGTGGGCAGTTCTAGAGACCACAAAACAACAATATGCTTAAAGTTCTCTACAGTAAGAAACAGCCTGGCTAGGATCAAATTGCAAATGTCTGGTTACATTTGCAACAACACACAACTTTAAAGATCCTGAAGAAGTTTAAGACAATCCAAGTTTAATTGACTTGTGTAAAAGATGTCCTGGGATATACAAAACAAATTATACAATCTTCACATTAGAAGCACCTTCTGGGCTTAGAACGTTCATTTGTGTCTTGCACAAATTTAAAAACAAAACAATAAAGAAATATCTGAATAAAGAAAGTAACCACACAGATTACTTAAGAAGAAGAAAACACATCATGACTATAAATATTCAAAAATTCTTCATACTATGATCGTAGAATGGTTTGGTTAGGAAGGGATGTTAAGATTATCAAGTTCCAAACTCCCTGCCATGGTCAGGAACACCCTACACTATACCAGGTTGCTCAGAGACCCGTCTAACTTGACCTTGAATACTTCTAGGAACGAGGCATTCAAAACTGCTCTGGCAACCTGCTCCAGAGCTCATAACCCCCTTATAGTAAAGAATTTCTTCCTTATATTGAATCTACATCTACTCTTTTTCAGTTTGAAGCCATAACCCCCTTGTCCTGCCACTACAGGCTCTTGTAAAAAGTCCTTCTCCAGCTCTCTTATAGTCCCCTTGATGTACAGAAAGGTGTTCTAAGGTCTCCCCAGTGCTCTTTCTTCTCCAGGCTGAACAATCCCAACTTTTTCAGCCTTTCCTCATAGGAGAGGGGCTCCACTCTAATCCTCTTCACAACCTTCCTCTGGACTGACTCCTGAAGGTCCATGCCTATTTGTGCTGAGAACCCAAAAGCTGTACACATTATTTCAGGTAAGGTCTCACCAGAGCATGAGGTATTATCTCAAGTATTTCTTTTTCAGTAAGACCTACACACATGATATGCAGAGACCATCCCTAGAAGAGGTCCCTTAAATTTAACTTTGCATTGTGCCAGGCTGGCTGCAGATTTCTTTGTATGAACTCTTGTTTTCTTTCCCTGCCTACCAAGTTCTGCTGGAATTGTTCTGCAAGAGCTACCTGTAAAACATTTCTCCATGAATTCAGGACAAACAAGCCTAATTCTTTAGCAGGTCTATTTTTTTCTGCTCTGACAGCAAGGTGGCAGTGTCTCCCACTCTATGCACTCCTCTCCTTTTCCACCAAAATAAAAGCAGAAACTGTGTAAGAGATCTTCAAGCGATTCGGAATGTGAGTGGTCCTGTTCTCATATACATGGTATGAAATACCTATCTGTGAGTCCAAGAATTTTCTTAAAGCAGTACATTGGTGTGGCTGTTGCAGAATTAAAGTCTGAATCTCTAGACGGTCTTTCTCCAGTGTGTTGATCACTTCACTGTTTTTTTTTAAATCAAAATATACCATAAGGGTCTGAAACTAAGGCACCTCTCTAAAGACAATATTTTTTAAGAACATTACAGATGAATGATCTGCCTTTATTATACTGTCAGCCTGCAGATTCTCATAGCAAGAGATTAACAAGAGTTACTATTTCCAGAAGAACTGACTGAGGAAAAGAAAATAGAGCAGTATTATGAGATTCTTTTATAAAGCAAAATAATGTCAGCCATATCCCACTTACACAGTCACACAACACTGCTTTACAGGAAACCCACTGGAACATTACACTAGTTAGATCAAAGCAAGTTTGGGTCAGTTTTCAGATTTGAAAGACTCCAGAAAATTGAATTCTCTCTATTTAGGACGCGTGTGCAGCTTGTAAATGCAGAAGTACAATTTTTAGTAGATCTTAAAGTAGACCTCTTTATAAAAACTGACAGGATAAATTCAATTCAGAGATTTCTCAGCATTTTAGCATATGCTTCACATTCATTTGACATTTTGTTGTAACTTTTGTTGTCATGGTTTAACCCCAGCCAACAACTAAGCACCACACACTCAATTTCTCACCTTCCCCACTGGGAAGAAGAATTGCAAAAAAAGAAAATAAAACTCATGGGCCAATGTAAGAACAGTTTGATGACTGAAACAAAATAAAATAATATTTCAGTATTATAGTACTATAATTTATTGTAATATTAATAGCAATTGTAATTAAAAGAAGGTGGGGCAGAATAAAACCCAAGAAAAACAAATGATGCCCACTGCAGTTGCTTATCGCCTGCCCAGCCACTGCCAACTCCTGGCCAACTTGCCCCAGTTTATACACTGGAGTGGCATTCCATGGTATGGAATATGCCTTGGGTTAGTTCAAGTGAGCCATTCTGGATGTACTTCCTGCCCCCAGCTTGTTGTGCAGCTCTTCACTGGAGGAGCATGGAAAACTGAAAAGTCCTTGATTTAGAGTATACACTCCTCAGCAACAACTGAAGTGTTGTCCTCAACATTACTGTCATACTAAATTCAAAACACAGCACTGTATCAGCTACAGGAAAGAGAATTAACTCTATTCCAAATAAAATCAGGACAAACTTTCACCAAGAACACTTGAAATGTACTGTGGACAGTACATTTATCCTCAACTATTGTGAGATATAATCATTAAGATCACAAATTCTCCAGTCTTTGGTACATGGACTGTATGAGTTAGGAGCAATATCACAGCATGCATTTCTACAGTACATACTATCATCAGGGAGAAAGTCAATTCACCTTAATTTCATTGAGGCTGTGAAAAACCAAGGCTTAAAAAAACTCAGAAACAACAGATAAAAGTTCTTCAGCTGTCCCCAAAAATTCAATAGGTATTACACTTGTACTAGTTGTAGGACTAAATGAAGTGTTTGTTTAAATACTGCAATAGTTTTAAACTAATTGTTGTAGAAGCGATCCAAATAAGTTTCTGTTCTTCCAATTTTCCTGAACGCCTGTATATCTTTGACAGAAACATAAACGCTTTTCAAGGGCAATTTTGAGCTTGCCCTTGAAAGTACATTTAGACTTCTCCATATTTAGAATGGACTAAAGATAAGGAAAGGTGGTTGAGACAAGAGTGCCCCTCAGTGGCAGTATGTTGATATAAAATACAATTATATGATACTTTAAAATCATATTTTGAATATTTATTTTTATCACTCAGGGACAAATGCACCATTAAATCACATTCTTACAAAACTGCATCATTACTAAGAATCCGAGGGGGTTTAGCACATAGAATTTAATAACGAATGAATTTAAGTATGTACATCATGAGGTAAAAATATTTACTATGAAACAACACTTGCTAAATATTTATAGCTGAGTGTTTCGTGGATTGGTGTGTGCATGTGCCTACACTTTCCAGTTATATTTAAAGAAATTAAATTGATTTTTGCATAAAGACTTCTCACAACAATTCTGCAGCATTCAAATTGTTTATTTTCTTCTGTGTTATGAGCAGCAAGAAAACATGCAGTAGTTCTTTGAGAACTTCAAAAACTACAGGATCTGAATTACCTGGAAGGCTCGCTGTGTGTACCAGGTTGCATTAATTCACTCAAAGACTAAGACTGAGCCATGCTTTGTACTGTTCACACACATACTGCTTTCAAAGTCTTTCCCAGAACCTGCCTGGGTTCCTTCCTCCACACTGGTGATTAAAAAAACAAGCATCAAGAATATTCACCATTACAGATTTAAACAAATAGCACCTCACTGCAGCTGATCTGGGAACAACTGAAGGATACTAAAAAATTTCATGGCAGAATTGGAATAGAATAGCTAGATAGCTGTTAAATGTTCATTAGCACTTGTTCTATAATCGGGTTGTGTCAATATTCTTGCTAATTTAAATAAAAACAGACCTTGAAGAATAACTATAGTTTAACTAATCTGGTTAATTTAGCCTTAAAATATTTATCAGAGTCCAAACTTTTCTCACAGAATTTATAACCATAGCTTTTTATGTGTATGATGTTATTAGTAAACGACCTACAATCCAACAGTACAGGTTAGGAGTATACTTCTGAACTTGCATGGTGTTCAAAGCAACATTCTCTGTGCCCAGTGCTGCTTTTCAGATGCAACATGCTTGAATTTTTGTGGTTTTACACAGATTTATTAGCCTTTGCAATAGAAAAATGCTGTTAGTGGAAAAGAATTAAGAAAAAGTAAGGTAGGAAACCTGAGAGATACACTGGTGAATCTTAAAATGGAACACGGAACAAACAAAATCGCAGCAAACACTAACAACAAGCTCAGATCCACCTACATTGCACCTACATTTCCCAATTGAAATTCAAAGGATAGTTGTGACTAGAACAGGTATTAGACCCTCTTCATGAAGCATTCCCTCAAATCTGTAAAATAATAGCAAAAGAAAAGTTTAGCTTATATACACCTCCAAAAGCTCCACTGCCAAGGTGCTCTAAAATGGTATAATTTTCTACGTGTTTTGTGGGTGCCTTATTCTGATTCATGTTCCCAATATTTTCAGCAATTTGCTTCAATACATCCTCCTAGTCATAAATTAAATGACAAATAAATAAATTTAAAATATTTTATGCCTTTCTTAGGCTAAGAATGTGCAAGAATACAACTTCTTAAAACTACGAAGGTTTAAGCTTTTTACTTATCTTTACCGAATTTAGCTTTGATACCCTTCATAAACTCTGATATCACGCACATAATGTCCAATATCAATGAAGATTTCAAACAAGTCAGTAGGGAAAGGTCTCAAAAGAAGCAAATTTTTTTGTAGCTTTTAGAAACAATGTAGGAGCTATTAATCTACAGCAGAGACTTTTTAGTTTTTATTATTAAACTTACTTCAGAATCTCCTAAATAGTACACTTATTTTTCACGAATATATTAAGATATTAAGCCTCTCACACTGCATACATAGGAGTTTAAGCCCCTTTTAGAAGTCAGACTTCAGCCCCCATTGGTTGGGTATGAAGATAAATGCCAATTCTCCAAACAAATATAAGTCTTTAAAGTCAGTGCACCTTCTGAATTCCCAGTAATTTTGCTTTTTTCTTACAGTACTTTCTTTTATGCTTTTTATCACTGTATCTGAGTTTCTTCTTGTAATGCATTAAGTGATAGGATTAACATCTGTCTGCAAATAATCATGACACCCATCTTAGTATTTTTGGCCAAGAATCCTAGTCTAAAAGATGAAAAGGACTGAGGAAAGCAAAAGCCAACAGATAAGAGGCAATAATTGATTAGTTAGATGCTTCACTGAAGTTTTGTTTCTTTTTAAACTTCTGGAATAAGTAGAAATGCAGATTAGGCATTTGAAAAAATCAAAAGACAGTAAATTAGTCCAGTTTCTTCAAAAATTTGTCATCAACCATGAAAATTCATTATAAACTGAGGCACTTTCAGTACAAAATCAACTTTTAAAAAGTAACACAAAAGTTATATATATAATTTTAGTAATTTATGATACATAATAAAAACATACAGAAACAGTACTAAGAGGCAGACCTCCTAGACACTCTGACTGCTATTCTAATGCCACAAATCACACTGTAAGATTTCACATAGCCTTTGTAGAAAACCTGATGAAATGGTCATCTTACAAGTAAAAATGTGTAATTGATGGAAAACATTTTGTCCACATTGATCCAAACATTTCAGTAACACTCTTAAGTAAAACAGCTTGATGCAAAGTCAGACCCATGGTGAAGAAAAAATTTAATTGCTTCCAGTTAATTGCTGCTATCCAGGGCTGCAAATTGCACCTGCTAATCTTAAGGGTAAAAGTATATTTTATCACCAGCAGTGTTCAATCTGTCCTCAACACATATAAAAGATTTATTCATGGCAGGAGAAGGAGCCCACACAAAGCTAGGTTGTCTGGCATGAACGCAACAGAAGTTCATCACTGAACACCTAATCTTGTAGACTGGCACTGATGCAATTCAGGGATGACTATCTGCAGTTGTGGACAGGACAGAAATTGCCCATTACAAAACAAATTACATTTAAAAAACATTTTTTTTCTGATTGGACTTTTGTAAGCCATCCTAAAAGAGTTTGACAAAACATATGGCTAACATACCTTTAAAAAATATGTTGATTTCCTTCCATACTGAAGAGAAATCTCAGAGTTCTGAAAGCATAACACTATGGCAGGAAAAGCACTTCAGTTAATGAGAGATTTATAACACATGTGGAAAACCCTGATAAACAAAAAGGATTCCCTTTGATACCTTACACATTGTCAAACTTAGTATTTAAATGACAGATTAGCTTATTATCTTGATAACAAAGGGAATAAAAATATATTAAGTTCTGTATTTTAAGAGTACACCAGGGCATTTAGGGGAAAAACAAGTGAAAAAGACAAGTCGGTGATGAATGCTACAGCACATGCTGAGGCACACTTAAATCTTGATCATCATTTTCCATCTGCAGATAGCTCAAGACATGAGACCAGGTTTCTTCTCCAATGCTGAAAAAGGTAAATGTAATCAGTGGGTTTGTAATATTGCAGTAAAAAACCCAATTTTCTGAAAAATGCAGCGTGAAATAGCATAAGTTCTAACAGGGACAGAAAAGAAGAGATTACTCAATTTTTTGACCCTAAATTTGTCATATTTACAGAGAACTTTATGTACCTCAGCTTCTATCTTCATATACCTTAGTTCCAATTCAAAGAAAGTTCTTTAAAACAGCTACTGGCAGGTGGTTAATATGTATGCTTTGATGCAACTCATCTTTAGTTCTATTTGTCAAGACTCAATGATAAGGCACATTTATAGCTGAGCAAAGACAGTCATGAATTAAGATCACTAAGGTAGCATGGTAGAAAGAAGCTCAAAATTTAATCACTGAAAACACACACAATGGGGCAGTAAAGCAACCACACCAGCATTGCAAGAATTCTAAGAAAAAATACCTCTGAAATTCAAAAAGGATATTCCAATAGCTGCAACTGTATTTCGTACCAATAACATTTTTAAAGGCAATACAGGTAGCAGTGTGAGAAGCTGAACAAGGTTGCATAAAAATGTACTTCTTGTCCAAAATAGATTTAGTTTTCATGTGTGATCATTAAGTCCATTATTAATTCACATGGCTTCAAGTTTAACCCAACTACAGCTGCTTACTAGCTCTTGTGAATTATTTTCAATACATTCTGTTGGAATCTAAAAATCTCAGTGGGCATAAATTAAGCTCCTTACAGTTGTGTGAGGCAACTATACTGAGCATACACTCCAGTTTGTTAGGCTGCATGTTAGTTCCATATAGCTACCCTCCAGGAATGTTTGTATTTGTCTCATCATTAAGATGAAGAGCACCATAAACCTTCATTGCAGTAGAAAGGGACCTACTGCACTTAATCTGCTCTCCAATTCTAATCCAAAAGAACTGTGAAGTGAAAGATGACACTAGAATAATTTTTTTTTGGTGGAGATGCTTCACTATCCAAGCACATCTCCCTCATTAGATAGTGGAGTAGCTATATAGCCATGTTAGTGGCTCTGTCAGAACAAAGATCAGGTGAGAGGGAGGATCATGAATGCATTCAGCTGTGCTAAGGACTTTGCAACTAGAGCAGCAGCAGCTGTGCTCATCCCTGAACCCCCAGAACTACATTCCCATATCTTAGAGAGACACTCATCACTGCACAGGGCCTGAGAAAAGCTGCCAGGTAATTAATTACTACTGATAACCTTTAGCCTAAGTTGACTCAAACCAGTACATTTATGGCATGCAAAACCAAGAGCCTTATGCTTATTAGGCCTATATTTATTCTACACTTAAATTTTCTCTATTTTATATGTTGCCTTCACGTATTTTATTTAAAATCCACTGCAAAATGCTCCACAAATAACAGATATTAGTAGAGTGTCAAGTCTAGAGCGAGTTTCAATGAAGATCAAGACTCTGTAAAGAAGATTTGATGCTAGACAGCCTAAAAAAGTAGAAGAAATATCATCACAAGAAAAATATTGACTTTGCTTTACACTATATGAGGTGCCAGAAACGAAGTAAATCAGAACAGAAATTGAGTGTCTATTTGTCTTTCAGTTCCTGGGCTATTTGTTGTTTTGGGGTAGGGGATTCCCCTTTAAATTTGATTTTTTTTTCTACTGTACTTCAAAATAAGCTTTAATTCATAAAAAATTCTCAGGGACTATAGGGGCTTTCATTGTGAAATTAGAATAAATGGAGTTACCTCTAATAAACTGGCTTGTTCAGCATTCCTTTCTTTGGTTGGTAAAATTAGCTTTGCTATTGTATATATTGCATTTACCTGGAAACAGAAAAAGGTCAGCATTAATAGTGCCCTTTTGCATGCAAGCTACAAATAAAAATCAATGTTCAGATAAATCAGAAGCTAATACCAATGGACAAGTTCTCAACACCCTATTGCACACCTGAAATAAAAGCTTAAACGTGTGTAAGAATGAAATCATTGTTATATTTAAACTGATACCACGAAGACAGCCTGTGAACAGATAAAGAAGAAAAGCTTCTATCTCTAGAGCTGAAGGAAATTGCAGCAATAGATCTCCTGTCACCATGCAGCACCACATTTTGAATTGTCAGGAACAAAATTCAAGTCTCAATAAAAATAAATTGCAAAAACACCAAAAGCGATAGCCTGAGAAGTCTGTCCATGCATTCAGTGGGATTCTGTGAAAACCACACTGATTTCAGCTTCCACTTTCATGCAACCATGTGTCCTCCACTACTCTATCCACTTTGTAGATCTGATAGATGGGCACTGGTACATTAAGTTGGAGTACTGCTTTCAGTTACTTGACAAAGTCCCTGATGGAGACTACTCTCCTCTCTAGAAGAGTTGATGGGAACAGGTGTCAGCTCTGCTGAGGCCCTTCTGCAGTTCCTGATGTTTTCTTCAACTGTTCATGAAGGTAGAATTAAGCCTAGACCATGGTTAAGCCTAGGTTTTGGGCTGTGCAGTAGAGCCATTGAGTCAAACACATTCTGTCTGCTGCCAGGACTACTGCAGACTGCTGCCAAGGCTGTGACAAAGATAGAGGACAGGGCAGCTGCAGCAGAAGTTCCCAACTACACCTGATCCAAGAGCCCTTTGACACCAAATGATGCAAACATTTACAGGTCGCTCAGATTGACCTCCTTGGCACATAACTGAAAGAGCTGCACACCTTTTTCCTCTGCTTTTAACCCAAGTGAGTTGCTTCACTTTGCTCACCATGCAACTCTCAAAGTTGTATCAGCAAAAAGAAAGAAGTTGGATTTAAAATTACTACACTGGTATTGTAGAGCGGAACTCCAACTGAAATGAACATGCTTGAGGCTGTGTCCTGATCTGAAAGGGGGATGTTGGCTGATCTTTAAACAAATGGAGAGGTTGCTGTCTTTTAACATAATGAGCAGAAAAAGTTTGAAACTCCTTTTCCAGCTCTGCACATTGTACTATCAATTTTTAAGCCATTTACTGACACCAGAGTTACCACGCACTGCTGGGGCAATGCAGGAAACCTCTCTGTTAAAACCATTTCATTTAAACAAGTGATATTTTATTTTACTGAAACCAGACTCAGCCTAAAATATATAATTATACTATTTAGATAAAATTTGTCAAAAACAGCACAGTTTATGGACAATTTTAGTGCTCAAGAATAAAAAAAAAATATTTTTTCTAGACTTACTTTAATTTCTTTTCTCTTACCCAACAGTTTTGAAATACGCATAAACTTCTTTCCTGCTCATATTTAAGGTTCTTGGTCTCTCAGTTCCTCCAGGAATACTTCTATTTGGGTTTTAAGTTAACTTGAAGTCACTGATTTAACATTTAGAGTTCAAGAGCTGGCTACAGCTCTTAGCTGATATTAATGTCCTTAATATTTATATCTTTGACTAGGTCTGGAATACAACCAAGGATTTTAAAAGTGGTTTATCCCTGGAGACAGAATGCCAGGAAGTTATCTCAGAAATACCATACTCTTAAGAGAAATAGTTTGTGAAACAACATGTCCATTTTAAGCTGCATAGTTTTTTTGTAATAGAGGTCATGAAGCTCAGAATTTGCATTTCTGTTTATTCTGTGATTACTTTTATTTACTGTCCTATTTTGAACATGACAAAAGCATGGCAAGAGATGCCAAAATGAATCTCGTCTGAACAAAGCTGTTTATTCTTCCAGACACCTAGGCTGATAACCTTCGTGTCTATGTCTCTGTGTGTTAAATTTTAAAGAAAAAGAAGTACCAAAGTTATAGAAAGGCATATTTCCAATCTCTTAAATTATGATAACAAAGAACAATTAAGTGAAATTATAAACTATAGCACCTTATTTAACTGAATAAAGTCTTCCTATCTGTACAAGCTGCTAACATTAGTCTCATTGAGCACCAGTCCAATAAGTGCAGAACAAGATAGAATAAAAATTCAGGAGTAACATTAACATTCGACTCTACTGAGAAATCTTCTCCAAAAGGAATTTTCTCCATAACTACCAGTGAATCCACACCTGACTAGGAGTCATTAGAATAGTACTTTGAAATCATATGATTCATATCAATCTATTATAGAAAATTTAAATAGTGAAGAAAAAAAAAGATCAAATAAAAATAATCTCACACTAAACACAAAACTAACTAACTAAATAACTTTATTGTCACTGTTTTTACAGGTGAAGAAATACATATTCCCAGATACTTTATGCTTTGTTTCTTTCTAACAAAAGTGTACTTTTTGAAAATAAGTACTAGTATCACACATTTGAAAACAAATCCGATTTGATGCTCCTACTCCCTAAAGCAGGTATAAAAATTAACAATTTTGTAATTTTAAGTCCTTTTGCACAAGTGTATGTAAAGACATAACAGAATATTAGAATATTATATTACCTTATAACCCTACCTGCATGAAGTGAGAAAATATTTGAGAAGATGCTGGTTTCTCCCTGCTGCATTTGCACTAGATAAACCTCCAACTGAAGAGCAGTCAGATACAAGACTTCTTCCCCTGAAAGAATAACAAAACAAAATTTAAGTTCCAGTGTTAAAAATGTCTTAATATGTCTTAATGACTTAATATGTCTTTGTTAACCATTCCTGAAGTTCTGAAAAATTATGTATTTTCACTAAATTATCTAATATGCTTTGAAAAAGCAAACAAGCCTGTAAACAGAAAATTCCTTTACAATGTTCATCAATTATATTCACAATTCTAGCTCACAAAATAGGTGTCTGATTAACAGGAAAACTAAAACGACAGTAATGCCAAATTTATAACTTTTTCATTATTTGGCTTAAACATTGAAAATATGAAATAGTCTTAGGATAACAATGAAATACAGAAGGCTGGAAAAAGCATTGTTCATTCATTATGTTCTCAATAGCTTTTTTACTTGTGTTGGCATCACATACAGCTGAACAAGCCAAAGATGCTGATAAAACAGGGCTTGGTCAAATATATCTCAAAAGAGCAGTCTCGTACAACTGCCACTATGTTGAGGACTGAAAACCTACTCCTGTAACATACAAAGGAGCTGCTTGATTCTACCCCAGATCCAAATTTCCACACTAGTCTCAGGATCTTCACAAACCTGTACCAGAATCCAAATTATACTCCATAGAAGTTTGATGTGATCAGAATGGAGTAAACTGAGCAAAACTGGAACTCCTTCATACATTTTTATTTGATCTTTGACTCATGACTCTGCACAAAGGAGTTGCAGCAACTCTGCTGTGATCCTAAAAAAAATCAGCAAGAAATTTTAACAATAACTCCATCATTATTTTGCATTGTCAGTTAGCAAAGGGAAAAAAGCACAGGAAGTTAAAAAAAGAACAGAGATCTCCTGTTAAAAAAAGAGAAGTTAAAGAAAACAACTTAAAGTCACTGCAACCTGGTTAAAGTCACTATTTAAAAAACAAAAGAAGACAGTCGTCCAAACTTTCACAAGGGATGGAATTATATGAGTTCAACTGCCAGCAGAGGCAACCAGGCATACCCAGCCAGGATGGGAGGTGGCCAGGAGGGCTGCAGTCATCCATGCTACCATCGTATTAATGGCATCAGTACTAGTACTGACTGCATGAACCTGTAAAGTCTATCTGTGGAACTGGAACAGCCTAGTTCTACAGATAACTCAAAAATGCATCATTCCTCTCTAATATAGTTTGAATACTGTGTTTAGAAAGTGACTGGATATATCCCTTAAAAGGTTTCTATAAGACTTCCATTAACTGCAATGAAGGTGGACTTCCCATAGAAAATATGATTAAGGATACCCATTTCCACTTGAAGCAAAAAAATCCATGTGTGTTTAATGAAACATGTGAATTCAGATTCATATCTGAATTTTAAATTATCCTTAACTGGCACTTAACTTCATCATCTTCCTGTCTACATTCAAATTCTAACTCTTACATCTAACTTTTGATTTACCTCCAGTTTCAAACCCAGAAACTAAATAAAACCTTTTCATATATTAATTTTCTCTATTCTTAGTCACATATAAGGCCATTTATATGTGTGAAATAGTTAAGTATGAAATTTTAAAAACTTCTTCAGAATTTTAGAGGTGATAAGTGATGTATTATCAAATTTGAAAATCTTTCCGTTTCTCACTGAAATTCAGTAATGCTTTGGTAGCAGCCCTGGCTGATTAAACAATTGAAGGAACATTGATGATTTTCTGATAAAGAGGATGTGGGATCTGACTCAGCCTCTGGAATAAACTAAAGCAGCTCTAGGTCTTGCAATTTTACTAGTTTATATTGGGCATCCCAGGAACTGCCAGGGCTCAGCATGGTTCCCATCTAACACTCAGGTCTGCCAGGAGAGATGCACCAAGAAAAGTGATTGCTATTATTTTATGATAACATTGCAACTCATTTGCACTGCACTAGAGGCCATCAGTGGAGAGAGGGGAGATGGATTAAAACAAAACTGTTGGAAAAGATTTTGCTGTATCAGTATGTGACTGAAAATACACAGGTATCAGAATTTGACCTTGGGTATATTAAAGCATCACATTTTCTAATTCCTCTAAATACACACATCCTTAAATTAAAAAATCAAAATTTATTTTAACACAACCCACAAAAAACTCTCATCTTTTAGAGGGAAAATCATATTCATGTAATATCACCAGCAAGTTCTCAACAGAAGTGAGCTCACTTATCTTCTCCCTACATTCTGGACTACAAATTGATTATTCCTGGCACTTGTATCAGATGAAATTATACGAAAAACATACATTGCTCTTTAGCCTCCTTCTTTGTACATTTGATGAATTATTTTTTTCCCAAGTCTTAAGTAATATCATATTGTGCACACAAATACTTAAAGCCACAAATATATGCTGGGTCAAGGGTAACAACAACAATTTTCCAATTTTCCCAGTACAACAAGAGTAATTGTGAATGCCCAAAAATAAAGAAACAAATATATTTTGTGTCTTACTGGTAATTAACCAAATGGAGTATATTTTTAAAAACAACCACAATTTCTATGAACATTTGTAATATACTCGAAACTCTTTCTTGCCCAATCCAAATGTAACACAAAATCCTACATTTCATTCAGTGAGGAAAGTTAAATGGAAGTTGAAAATGTAGGTATAACATCATTTCAATTAACATGGACATTAAAAAGAAATTAAACTGAATCAGAGTTTTGGGAAGTCTGGGATACAGCACATCAATAACAGCAGTTTTTCTTCTACCATTACAGATGAAAGTTACTCTGCCCCCTTTCTGCTCTTTTTTCCTCTTTTTTTTTTTTTAATTTAACCACTAATTAATGAGAAGGCGGCACATATACATGGATTTGTCTGTATGAGTTTATTATTTTCTACACTGAACAATATTCTACCTGATTATTGTGAGGCACTGTTATATTAAGCTGAGGACAAAAGATTTTTATATGCAGGAAGTCAGTAGGAATTCCAGAGTCCTGCATGAGAATTTGAAAGACAGAGTCTGTGATTCCAGTCTTGCAGAGTTATCTACATGAACAAGAAGTCTGCTGCAAGGACCAAAGTTTCTATTGCCTCAATATAAAATTAAGAATATTTAAGTTTTCCTCATAAAAAGCAGTTTTAATACTGTGTCAAGAGAAAACATTAAAAAGCTTTTGTTAATTATAGCCCATTAAATTGAACCTACCTTTCTGCTAAACTAGTCAGAGCAAAGAGGGCACCAAAAAACACATGGCAGATGACAAATTTACTAAGGTCTGGAAAAAAAATGAAACAAGATAAGTAAATGTCTGAATCTGTGTAAATATAAAATACATTATTTTCTTTTATGACTCAAACACATATAGAAATATTTATTGAAAAGTAAAAATTAAGATACCAAATCTTCATAAAATATGTTAAAAGTCTTTGGTACATTTAAAGTACACCTAAATATACACTTAGAATAAACCCAGTAGGACAAGCAAGGATGTTTCTTCTCAAACTACAATTAGTATCTCTTTGACTGCTAAAGCATCTCTATTACATCATTGTAAAAATCTGGTTTTGTGTAAAACTTCAGAACTCTAAATCAGGCCTCCTGAAGTAAAAAGTTAACATTCAGTTTATATTTAAAGAGCACAGTAATTTAAGGCCCTGCCTGTATTTCCGTTCATGATTTATGACTAAGTAAACTCCATACTTTTCTAGATTTTCTAAAAATAGGTTGTCTGATACTGTATGATCACCATTGCCACTGTTTTTCTGCAGCATGATAGAATCATGAAACCCTTGTTATGCTCAATTTGATCTCAGGTGTATCTCAGTTTAGCCACAAACCAGCAATAGTTAAGTAAAGATTCTTAGACTGATAGTAATGAATAGCAAGGGATGTCTAGGTTGATACAGAATATTTAGACACAGAATACTTTACAAGTGAAAAACCACAGCAGAAATTCGTATAGGAAAACTTTAAAATATATTTACATTTTAAAAGTATATAATACTAATTGAATCATAGTAATGAGCAGTTATTTGAATCATAACTGTAGCTCAGGACAGTGTATACATGAGACTACTTTTTATATGAACAAATGTTTTGATTAGTCCAAATGTTTACAATCTATTTATCTCAAACAGCCAATAATCATACATCAGGCCAATTAACTTACAGAAAATAAATTCTTTTTATGATACTACTAATACATACGTAAAATACAGAGATTATCTTACCTTACAAGGCTGACAAGCTAAGGAATAATCTCCCACCTAGGTCAAATCTGAAAAGTGTGCATTATTCCATTAAATAGCTAATTCAACAACATTAGCAACTTTATGTGCTCTACTTGCTATAACCTATTCTCTTTGATTTTTAACAGCAGCAAGTTTTTGGAAAATGTCTATGGCACAAAGGAAGACACAAATTGACTCTTTCTCACTTTCTAAAACTAGTATTTTCATTTTACCAGTCAGATAACAGAGCAAAACACTGTATAAGTTCTTTGAATCATAACTAGCTCATCCTACTCTTTTATTTCACTGCATAAAAAGATACTAATTTCTTAAAGAAATATTACTTATGTAGAAGAACAGGCTGTTCTTTTCTACAGAAATTTTAGCTTTTACTTGTGTGATGATGCCTACAGTGAATATAGTAGTATACTACTTAATGACCACCTCAAGTATTTTAAACATTTTAAGCCTCACAGAAAAAGTTGTGAGCAGCCTTATAATTTCTGATACCAGCTATTGTACTTACATGTCATGTTGAACAACTTGTCTACATCATGCTGCATAATTAAGAAAATGATTTGCTAATGTTTCCATATACTACAGAGTAGGGAAGGAAAAATAAAGGATGCCATTAGGAAAAAACCTCGAGACTGTTCTGCACAGGTAGAGCCTGTAGGTGGTGCAGCTGTTTTATGAAAAAATATTCTGTAATGCACTGGTAGTGGTGTAGCCCCAAGGTTTAAGCCTGTTTCAAAATTAAAAAACCATTTATTTTACCAGTATGCTTTTCCCTTTGCAATGCCATTTGCTACAGTTCAAGGTGACTTTGCTCATCTCCCTTCAAAACTACAGTTTCTTCTGATTGAAACAATTGTATTGACTTTTCTAATTATTCTCCCACCTCAAGAGGCATTTCTTAAGTCTCCTAACTAGAAGTTTTAGATTAATGCAGCTAGATTATAGGACAGTTGTTTTGAAAACAAGTGAATAAACCCACACTGACTGCCCATATGAAAAGAGAGGAACAGACTCACTTCTTTCCATAAAGCAAGAATATCTGTACACTGCATTTTATAGTATATACCATTCTAATCATAATAAACAGACACACAACATAATGGACAAAGGTACTATGAAGACTTCTACCTGAGTTAGACTTTCAATTCCACCCAGGCTGTGGAGCATTTCCTACAGGGAAAAATAAATAAAATTTAAAAATTCAGAATTACTTAAAATAAGTAGATAAATAAAAACAAAATAGGTGAAATTTTAAAGGTTCTTAAACTGGAGCTTTAAGTTTCCTTCACTAACAACATTATAGGAGTTTTACATATCTATATGATAAAGTAAAATACCAAGTCTAGGGCTCAGAGCAATGACCAAGCCATCTATTATGGAGATTTACAGTTTCTTTGTTAGGGTCAGCAACAACAGACATAATGTAAGAAATACCGGAAATTGAGCAAGTTATGCAGTAATGGTGCAAAATCACTCTGGAAATTTGTTTATTTGCAATTCCCATCCTCATATATAGAAATATAGATACATACATGTATGTGTGCATTCATAAGAACAAACAATTTTACACACAAGCACCAACACAACTCATATGCACGACTCTTCCATACATCCCCTTATCCGAGCAAGAAACAATATTTTGACATACTGACCTGGTAGCACGGATCCTTTATTAATAATCTCAGGCAGATTAATACCCTAAGAAAATGAATGGATGGAGCTTGAATAACCTGTAATGAATTGAATAACCTGTAAATGAAATATTCAAAATATAAACCAAATTCAATTAAAAAAACTGCTTAATACTTAAATAAAACAGTTTCATTCAGGATCAATTGACTAGTGATTGATTAGTGAGCTACAACAACTGTTCAACATACCATGCCATAAAACTTTTTTTCATTTATATTCAAACACAGTAGCAGCTATAAATGAATGTATTTCGTCATATCAGCACTACCAGCCTTCACTTATTATCACTTAACTGATGTAGGAAAGTAAGCACTTATCTCTAAGAGCAAACTAACCATGCTTTGATATAAACTTTTAGTGTTTGGATCAAGGCCCAAAAGGGCAAAGTAAGTGAGAAACCCCACGGCAAACTTCAGTGCACAAAATATACTTATGCAAAAATAAGGGTATTACAGAAGTAAAAATAGCTATATTTAAAATATTCTTTTGAATGATAATCTATCCTGGCTTTTAAAAACTCTAAAATTCTATTATGCTGGGACTAAATTGTTATTTAGTTCATATGTTCTTGAAATAGGATTCTATTTCCATATAAAATGTCCTCCTTTATGTTTCTCCTTATGATTCTCCAGCATAAGACATGGCAGAAAACACAAATCAGATTTGCAGAAAGTGTCCAGAGGCAGTAATCCTGCATAAAATACCATTAATGGAGTCACTATTTCCACTGCCTGTTGAAAGTACATATCACCATTTTCCTATTTAAAATAAACCTAAAATTAGACATCTTTGCCATGTGTTTTTCTGTTGTTGTTTTAACTGAGAGGACAAAATTTGTTTGGATAGGTTTCTTGGAAACAGAAGAAGTGTATGGGTCATGGCAGTTCTCTTCCTATTTCATCATTTGCAGTTGGGAATGATGCCAATAGCTAAAAATACTTCCATAAAAATAAATGTTTTACACGTAGATACTAACAAACTCTTAGTCCTTTCATACCAATATTCTGCCCAAAGCAATACCATTTTTCATTATGATTCCATAATTGGACACTTCAGAACAGCACAAGACTTTCATTGAAAGAAAACAATAACCATACACCTGCGTGCAAAATTTGTAGGTCAGATTTTAAATTGGCCTGAAGAAATTATCATGGTGGACAGTCATTTTCTGAACCTGGTTAACATTTGAGAGCCTTTTCTACTTTACATTTACAATACACATTACTAGATACAGCAGGGTATAATCCAGTTTATCTACATATCTACTACTTTATGCTTGTTTCATTAACCTTACCTGGGTGCTTTCATTCTTAATACAAGAGGCTTGTTTTGCCATATCACTATCACAAAGAATCACCAAAGAAAACCAAAATAAAAGCCAAGTATGTCACAATGTATAAACAGAACTTGGGAAATCACAGTGTAAGCTATTCTTAGATTTTTGGCCAATGAAGCTGAGCCACTGATCTCTCACTGGTGAGTATTGAGTTTGCATGTGAAAAAGAGGTACCAGATTTTAAAAACACTGAAATTATCTGTTTTTAACTCACTGTCGTTTAGATAACCAAAGAAGAGTTCCCTAGCTCCCCAGTTATTTCTGAATAAAGGTCTAAGCAAAGTATGTGGTGTTTTTAGAGTCCTCTGTAAATTCTAGAAGTTATACATTAATACCTTTCAATGCTCTAGGATTCCTTCTTTAAACTTCTGTACCACTTAAGGGTTTTTTTAGAAAATGTATTTGGGCTTTAAAAATGAAAATACAATACACTGCAAAGGAGTATAATAAAAAAATCCTGAAAAATGCCTTTTTTTTCCCTGAAAATATCTTTCTCTGCCCCCTCTGGTTTTTTTTTGATTTTGTACTTTTTCCTCACATAAATGAGAGCAGCATAAGAAAAGAGATTATCCTTTCCAATCCTGTTATACACAGAAATACAAATACAAACAAGTGGCATCAACTCATCTGAATTTGATGGAAACCACTGGCCTCTCACTATAAAGGCAGCAGTCCATAAAATACAAATAGAATCAGTAAAATAAATTAGAAAAGCAAATCATAGATTACCACATACAGATAAATGATCAAGAAAACATAGCAGTTAGAATTTTGGTCATGCAAGCTTTGTCATATACCCAGTCCTTCGTCTTCTCCCAATTACCCAAGCACTTCTCCTCAAAGCCAATGAACAAATGGTTGTTTAAAACTGAGATTACAAAGTGCTGCTGGTAATTTCCACAGAAATATGTATTGTAACAATATGGGATTATATCCATGCATCTTGCTTCTTCATGGAAGGCAAGAAAGAAAGGCCCTCCTTGGTTATGAATGTGTTTCATACACTGACCTGCAGGTAAGTGTGTCCATAATGAAAGTTGTAAAGATATCTTGAAACAGCTGAGGCTTGGGATGTTTGCTAAAATTTCTCTCATTCTTGTAGGTCACGCTAATAAGGAAGAAAAAAGAAAAATTATAAACTGCAAATTAACTTTCCACAGGACAGTTTTACACTGTTACAACTTAACATTAGCAACAAAAACAAAGAAATGTCATATCAGCAGTTACCACAGAATAACATGATTTCAGATTGCCAGACATGAACAGTCTGTCTCATGCATAATTTGGGACTATCAGAATGGTATAACTTTTCCACGTAAAGAAACTATCACTATTTAAAATGACTTTATTAACTCTCAGAGTATACTCTGCTGAGTGGGAAAGTTTGAAACTTAAAAAGGCAGGAACATAAATAGATTTTAAAAGTTAAAGATATGTAATTCTCATCTCAAATACTGGATTTATATGAAAAGTACAAGTAACAGACATAAGTAAAAATACAAATGCCTTCAACACTTCAATAAGGTGATACCTTTAGATACATAAAATGTTCAGATTTACAAGAGTGTCATCATCAGCTTTTAAATACTTTTACCTGCATTTTTCAAGCTCAATAGTTTTTGTTGATTCTTGCCATTGACCACTGGACTTTCGTTCATTGCTGTTGACATTTTGCCAAGTTCTTGTTGCACTGGTTTTGACTACTTTCAATATATATAGCTGGAAGTTAAGGAGGGAAAGGATAGTAGTCATGAAGCCAACACTGCCTTTTAAGTTTTCTGAGAATTTTATCAAGGAAAAGTGCCTTGTCTCAAGTTCTGACTTGAACTTTGGACTTAAAACTTGTCATTATAGAATACACACACCTCCTCTGCAAAACCAAACTGATGTGGTAGAAAACTAATGCAAAGCGAGACTGGAAAACAAGTACTGACAGGTAAGTAAAAGGTGAAAAATGGTGTCTTCTAAAATTTATGATAGCAAAGCTGGACAATAATCTGCAACCCATGCTTATTATCTATGCTTCTTACTTGTCCCAATTCCACATTCTTTTTTGGTTGTACAACTCACATGTTTCAGCTTTCTGCTCAGAAGAAATTCCAGGCCTCTAACCAGGTAGAAAGTGCCTAACTCCTACCTCACATAGATGAATCCTTTAGTCATTTTGTCATATCTTTTTACAGAACTGAAAGGGAGAAAAGGTTCTGTGATTCCAAAGATGCACACCCATCATCATGTGTTGGTTTTCTTTGCTTCAAATGACAAACACAAGTTTCACTAAGTGAGTTGAGGTGAAGGAGATTTGACTTTCTCCTGTAAGTTGGTATTTCAGCCCTGGATATTTTTAGCTGAAGTGTTATTCTTCAAAGACAAATTGTTTATGGTTAAAATGCTGATCTTATTTTATATTCTTTACCACTCTCCCCCATGCTGCTACTCACACATCTTTAAGCCCACCTTCGTTGTGAAAGGGCACAGAGGAAAAAATATCTGCTAGGGTACTTTAATATATGCAACAATAGCTAGAAAAAACCTGCTCAAGATACAAAATAAAGCACTGTTATTTACTGGTAAATAAAAAAATATGGTATAGTAGAATGGGAAGAGGATCCATTTCATTCTTTTATCCACTCTAAATGTGATTTCTCTCACTCAGAAGGTCTAATGTTGCCAAGGAAAAAAAAAAAAAAAAAAAAGACAAGACGACAGACATCCACTACTCAAGATTTTGCTAACATGTTTTAGTCATTATAGAACACAATGTTCTAAGTATATGCCAGAAACCATAATCACCATTAATTATAATTCTAAGGCATGTTTAATAACAGTTATTGAAAAATACCTGTTGGTTCCTTGACTGAACACTTAAGAGACTGAAGCCTTTTTAGATCAGAATAATCCCTAGGAAAAAAACACAATAGCTTGTCATAACAGTTACATAAAAGTATTTCCATAAGTGTAAAGGAGGTCAACAAGCAACAATGTTACTGAGAGAAAATAAAATTTTCTAGTGTTGCCTGCGGTCCACATGTTGCATACAGAAGAATTTACAGCTTCACCAGAATGCCTTAAATCAACAAAGGTGTAAATAAACTTTGTGACCAGAGTAACAGTTGTCATGTTTATATTGCATTTCAAATTGAAGCATTCTGCTTTGGCAGCCAGTGTAAATTCCACACGAGTCCTACTGAAGTTCAAAGTAAAACGTCAGATACTATACCTCATAGAGATCCCGGGAGGCTTTTTTTCTACTGCTTTTTCTGTGCTCTTCAACTTTTTGTCCTGATCAGGCATTGTGTACCACTATTATCATTATGGGGTTAAATACTCATTTCCTTAAAAACAAAGTAGATACAAAGAATTGTATCACTGCAGCAAAAGGAATGCATGTTTACTTATGGAACCAACCAATACTGCTTTTAGAAAAAGAAAACAGCTTTGCCATTTTCTCAGCATGAAGCCTTGGGCATCATGTCAGGATATCCTTTGACATTCCAGATATTAATGAGAAAGCTACTAATCTAACACACAGAAACCTTAGTTTTCCAACACACACGTAGACAACACTGTCTTGCTCTTTCATGTATTTTTTATTAGGATTTTTCCTCTTCTTTTATCTTCTTGCCATTATTTCTCTCCGTGAATTGGCTGGTTATGTTACAGCAGTGCTTACAGGCTAACATCAAGATTGTCAACAACAAGCTGTTGTCCAGACAACAGAGAATTTAATAGTTATATCATCCAAATAAACAAGTCAAATGAAGGGTAGAAAAAGGAGGCATCTGACAGAAAAACGAGGTGCATATATCTCATTTGAGATGAGGTGGTTCTCCCCCTCTACTCGACTCTTTTGAGACCCCACCTGGACTACTGCATGCAGTAATGGGACCCCCATCAGAAGAACAACAGGGACCTGTTGGAGCGAGTTCAGAGGGCTACAAAGAAGATCAGAGGGCTGGAGCATCTCCCCTGAGAGAAGCTGAGAGGGCTTGGGTTGTTCTGCCTGAAGAAAAGAAGGCTCCAAGGGAGATATCGAGCAGCCCACTACCTAAGAGGGCCTACAAAAGAGTTGGAGGGACTTTTTACATGGGTATATGGTGTTAGGACAAGTGGATGATGACTTTGCACTAAAAGAAGTCATGTTTAGATTAGATATCAGGAGGAAATTCTTTACTGTGAGAGTGATGAGGCACTGGAACAGGTTGCCCAGAGAAGTTGTGGACATCCGTGGAAGTGTCCAAGCTCAGGTTGGATGGGGCTGTGGTCATCCTGGTATATAGTGACAGGTGCCTCTGCTGTGGCAGAGACTTGGAACTCAATGATCTTAACGTGTCTTCCAACCCAAGCCATTCTATGAATCTATGATCACACAGTCTGCCAAAGAACAACAGAAATTTTCAGCAGTTTAGAATCTAGGCTTTCTGAATATCTTATACCAAACCTACCTGCTTTCCTTGCAGTGGGGGACACAGCTTCTTTCCACAGATGAGCAGATATGTATGGCATGGCCTCATCAGGGCCATTACTACATGTTAAATCCCTGCAGACAAACGTTCAGTATGTAGGTCTGACTTCCAACACAAGCCCTCAGCTAGTCACTTGCACAGTACACAACACCTGTTCACTGAAAATTTTCTAAAGCCATAGAAACATACAGGAAGACATGGAAAGAGGATATTCGAGAGGAGTATCTTGCTGCAACAGAAGCAACTATATTGATGCAGATCCTTGTCTGAGTGAGGAAAAAAAGAATGGTCAGGCACAGGCTGAGGCTCTAGAATTATCCTAGAGAATTATATACAGCTGGAGCATATTGGTAGAGTACCTCCAATTCAAAAACCAAGGATACAATACCATGGTCTGATCCTTTCTACCTATTTTACTGTTCACTAAACACGGGCTGTTTGAATGTTCCCTTTGATGTGTCTTTCACAGAATGTTCTGTATCAAACCTGATGGCCTCCTTTTCTTGCTGTGCAGGGTAGAATTCCTCTGCTACTGATTTTTATTTCTCTTCCTCATAAAGACAAAGAAGAAGAAAACTGGTCATGAAACAAAAGCATTGTAAACTACCAGAAGCTGCTCCTTCCCAAATGAACATCAGAGTCATTTTTCCAGTTACAAAATCTCACATCACAGAACTACCCAAAATGCAACTGTTGACAGTATGAACTCGTGCACTGCATTAAACCCTCTTGGAAGTGGCCTGTAAGCCCAGTTCATCCATGTCTAGTCTTTTAAACAAGCCTGTGTCCTACCACAGGGTATCATCGATCTGGATCCACAAGAAACTACAACTTCTCTGCTCTCTTGTGCGCATCTGCTCGAGGTTATTAAAAAACATTTCTGTGGCACCAGTTATGACCAGGGAATGAATATAAACAGGATTTGTTCTATCACTCAGCAGACGAAACTACTGAGTTCAGACTAAAGTGAATGCAGTTTGCTCAAAGCATTTATTTCCTTTGCTTCGAGAGCACTGAAAGTTAAGAGAAGCCATGCACATTTCTAAGCACATTAAGAATCCTCAGGAATGAGAATTTCTATGTACTGTTTCAGTGATATTCTTATAGCGTCTCCCCAAGACCTCGTCCCTTTGGGATGTTACTGAGGCATGACACGATGCAATAGGCTTCTCACATTTGAAACTCACAAATTGTGTACTTGACCATGAGTATGTATGCACAAAGAACAGATTTTAACCAATTAAAGAACAACCAAATCACACACAAATAACTTGTCCATGAGAAAACAGAGTTAAAATTTTCAGCATCCTATGAAATCCTTGGGTTAAATTTCTAAACTGCAAACAGCAAGATTCCCAGTATGGCTAGATTTTAATCCAGAATTGTTAGGTCTCTGTGATTATTTAAAACATTTTATAACTGTCTACCAACCTTGCTTTAGAGCTGCCATTCCAATTTTTTTGCTGTTTCCTCTATCTTGGTAAAGATGAAAGAGAGTAACAGATGACAAATATCTTAAAGGTTCGTTGCCACTACAGATCCGAAGTCCCTGTGCAAAAATTTAACCTGATAAACATCAAGCCAAATTCCCTTCACTGCTGCTGAGAAGGAAGGGACACTGGTCACTCAAAGATACAGCCCTCACCCAGCTCTGAGGACTCACCCTGAGGTTACCTCTCTGCTTCCTAGAGGCCAACAAGTCAACACAGGTCAGGAAGCCCTTCAAGAAAGAGGCCAGCTGTGGCCACAAACTGACCCTGCACTGACCTCTTTAGTCTGTCAGCCCAGCATCATCTCATCAGCTCACTGGATTGGGAAACCTGATTCAGGTTACAAATAATCTCTCCTACTTTAGTCCTGATTACCTTGTCTCTAAAACACTTCTACTGTACAAGGGCAGGGACAACATGCAGAAAGGAGGACTCATCTATGCAGCTTAGTGGGTTATGCTCTTCACCTTGCTACAGAGATTAAACTAATTAATTAACAGCCAGCTGCCAGTGAAAATGGCTTTCCCTTCCCCTTCTGCCAACAATTCTTTCTACTTCTTCAGCTGATCTGACCCAAACCTGAGCCAGTTTAGAGGGTTAGAGTCACAGAAAAAATACACTTCCCTTTGTATTGTTACTTTCCTACCAATTTACCTCACTGTTACAGTGACCTGATGAGTATCTCTGCTGACAGGGCAGGAATGCACAGGTGTAAATCGAGGGAGAAGAGCAGAAAGCCCCTTCCATCAGTAGCCAGTCATTTAATCAGGTAGGTATATTAGCACCATATCCTGAGTGAGGGGTAGACAAACAAAAACAACTCAATTTTCCTTCTATCAGCCAGAAACCTGAGAGAAAACGGACATTAATATTCCCTTACCTATTCTCAGTTATTTGACTTTTTTGAAGTCACCGAGTAAGTTCCCATCCCGTGTTCCTTCTTTACTTGTGCCAGCAGAAATTTCCATGGAGCCAGGCTATTCACTGTCCTCATAATTATCCCCCGCTATGACACCAGCCATGAGGAATGTATAAGAAACACACTAAACAACACTCATTTGTGCCAGATAAAAACTGAAATCAGACAACTCCTTTAAAGAACAGAGACACACTAAAAGAAAAATTTCTTTACAGCACAGTCTCATTTAATTCCATTTAAGAGAATGAAATTAGAGCAATAGTAATGCATTCATTTTAATTGGGGATAATTACATTTAATTAGTTACGTTGATTCAATTACATAGGAAGAGAGATGCATTCTAACAGCACTGGAATGCAGGATAGGAATGCTCCAAGAATCTTGCCAGAAATGAAATAATCCACATGATGAGAAACAGGAGACAAAGGAATTACCCCAGACCTGATCTGTGGCCCAGTCTAGTATCTGTCCCAGATGACATAAGCACATGAGCTTCAGAAGGTAAAAGAAAGCCCCAAAACAAACAAAACCACAAAGAAATGTTGGAGGATAAATCTACCCCACTGACTATGGTCTCTTCAACAAGAAGATGTCTCTATCTTCAGTAGCAATAACTACTGGATATGGATGAATTGTAAGCCAACTAGGTGCTTGATTTTCCCTTAAACTCCTTTCTTAATCACTCCAGTGTCCAAATTCCACTGACTAATCATATACAGAATAACAGGCTTAAGGTGGATAAAGAAGCAGTAGATATTTTGGCTTCAAAAAGACTTTTGATGCTGTTGCTGGATAGCAATGTATCTAATACCCCATCTAATACCGTAAGCTGTGTCAGATGAAGGTCAGGTGAAAATTCACTCCTTAAAAGAACAATTAGAAATATATTATTGTCAAAACAGAAATGGATTTCAAACACAGCCAAAATTATAGCAAAGGAAACATCAAAGGTGATGAAAAATTCCCAAAAGGTACTTTTCCTTACCCACTCGGATGGAAAAAAAAAGGAATTCTGGCTGGCTTCTCCTCTTGCTCTCAATAAGCATGGCAGTCAGAATAGATACTCACCAGTGATAGCCTGTGGCTAGGAAATTGTATTGAAGAACCCACATGGACAATGTTTGAATACTATTTCTTGCATTTTATTAACTGAAGCAATACAGAAATCTGTATTTGCTATACACACAAACTTCCACATACATATATGTGTCTCAATCTTTTTTAGTAACTTCTTTGGAGAGTCTCCAACGGTTAACAAGGGTAAGGTTCTTCCTGTTTTCCTGACAAATGAAAATATTCAAGCCACTGCTGTTTTGGGGTTGTCTTTTGCTGTTTGTTTTTGGTTTTTTGTTGTTGTTGTTTTGTTTTCCCTCTGTACCACCTCATTCCTTAAATGGCCAGGCCTATTCTCAGATTGCTAGGTCCACCAAATGTCAGTCTCTTGCCTAATTTCCAGAGCATAACTTTCCTCTGTAGAGCTTGCCTAAATCCACCCTGTTAAACAGCAGCTCACATACGTAAGAATAACAAAACAAACAAAACAAAATAAAGAACAAGGGATTTCTGAGGTCTAGTGAAGCAGCTCAGTTCAGTATCAACTCGAGAATAAGACGCAGCTCTTTGAAGCTCACCTTCTCTGCTCCCACTACCAAGCAGAGCTTTATAGGGAATTACACCGCTATTACTTAGAGCCTCTGAGAATCACGAGATTGTTCAATGCCCACTGAAAGCCCAGAGCTGGTGAAGGGGCAGGGCCGTGGAGCACGTCATTCAATGGAACGGGAGGAGGATGGGGACATGGCACCGCTTTCCCCATCCTTGTCTGCCCTCGACAGGACTCGCCCGCCCCTTGCCTCGCCGTGTTCCCGTCCCTCCCTCAGCGGCTCCCGCGCCCGCCGCGCGCTCCCCCGGGCACGGCCCCGGCCCACTCACTCCGCGGCGCGCGCTCGCCTCCGCTCCGCCACCGGGCTACGGCGACGCTCGCTCCGCCGGGACGGAGCCCCCCGACCAATCGCCTCGCCTCTTCTTGGCTCGCTGGCCAATCGCGAGCCTCCGTGCTGCGCAGTGCCAGGATTCCCCGGCACCGCTTCCGCCCGGCGCCGTTACCATGGGCACGGGGACGCCCCGGCCGGGCCCGCCCCGCCCCGCAGGGCCCGACCTCAGTACCCCCCGGGTCCCGGCCCAGGGCAATGAAAACAGAAGTGGCCTGAATGGAGTCCAGGAGATTGTTTATTGCTTTTACCAACTTTCTGAAACGTTACAAAAGATAATTTTATTCTAGCAGTAATTAAAACAACACAAAGGCTGAATCACATTAAAGACAAGTCTGAGAGTTGTGTTTTCTGTATAAACTGAATATTGATTCTACAGCTGGAATAATGTTTTCATTTGCTTTGGATTTGTTTATAAAGTAAGAAAACGTCACTGTAATTAGAAAAGCAGTCATAAAAAATTCGAACCATACAGTATGTAATCACATTTCAAATAAGGAATATTAAAATCAAAACTGCAGTTCAGCTGCAAAAGCTGAACCTGGAAGACACCTTTGCAAAGGAGCAACAATAGAAAGGAAAATACTAGAAATGATGTGTCTTCCCAATAAAATCATTTAGAAAAGTATCGATTTTCAAACTCATTCATTATTCCAAATAAAAGTCAACAGATACTAAATTCAGTATGAAAGTGTCTTTAGATAAAGTTCAATGCCAACTACAAAGTCCTATAAGTTTTCACTAAAAACATTATAAAATAAAATTGACAAACGTACTGAGCAATTTGCTTTATTTATAGCACTACACTTATGCTGACTCAAAGCTGTGTGCATCTATAGTCTTAAAACTTGCCATAAAATAAATTACTGTTGGTATAAACAAAATATTTCCCACGTTTCACTGTACTTGATAATTTTGTCCTAGATGAGTAATTAAAACATTACTAATCATAAGAAAGCAAAAAGAAAACTAAGCTGGCTGTGGTGCTCGCCTGACAGATTACATTTGTGAACATAGAGTCATGAACCATTTCCTTTCAGATTTACAGAACCTATGTACAAGACAAACCCTTTAGAGTGGAGCAGGCTCTGCGACGTGACACCCATTTGTTACAGAAATATTTTACAGCCTGTCGAACCTGCCTTTGCAAAGGGCACGAATTAGGAAGTGACCGTATAAAGACAGAGATGCAGGTGAAGCAAATGATAACTTATGGGAGAACTTACATTAAATGAAGAAAAAAATGGCCAATATACTTGGTTGAAAAAGATCCCAAAACCATTAGGGCACCAAGTTCTACCCTGACAGGTTTTATGATGACAAACTTGGCAATTTAGAACATTTCCCAGAACAATTGTATAAAATATTATGTTATAGCTGCAAAATTAATCTAGGAGGAAATTGTTGTTAACTTGGGCATATGTAAACAGAATGAAAAACATGTCACTGTAATACATATGAAAATAGTGAGAATGAATTTTCTAGAATATAATTTAAACACAAAACTGCATTTTAAATGATACATTTTAGACGATAATTTAAATGGAGTGGTCAAAATTAAGACCTACATTTCATGTAAACATTAATATTTATAAATAAATTAGGAAAAAAAATTTAAAAAAGGAAAAAGAAGAAAAAAAGGAACTTCCTGAGGTGGCTCTGCAGCCAGGTACACAGTAGCACTAAGCTCCATTCCAGGAAACCAAGGCATCTATAAAAAGTGCAGGGTTGTTTATTTTCCTCTAACTGTTGGAATGGAAATCCATTGGCGTA